TGGACCGGCCCAGCGGTACCTTCCAGTCCTCGTCTGTGTGTGTGTGTGTGTGTCTGTGTGTGTGTGTGTGTGTGTGTGTCTGTGTGTGTGTGTGTGTGTGTGTGTCTGTGTGTGTGTGTGTGGTCTCCAGCTGCGGTTGGAGGCGCTCCATCAGATCGTGGTCTTGATCTCCAGCATGGAGGAGAAGGGCAGCCAGCCCAGGACCTTGGACCGGCCCAGCGGTACCTTCCAGTCCTCGTCCCTGCTCACCTCCGTCAGGCTGCAGTTTCTGGCCGGCTGCTTCGGCCTCGGTACCGTCGGTACCGTCGGTACCATCGGTACCGGAGGCCTGAAGAGCGAGAGCGTGCAGCTGCATCACTACCAGGTGAAACAGGAGGTTGTGTTTCCTCCTCACTCAGGATCTCACTGACTGAAGCACCGTCACAGACAGTGAGCCGTCACATCGAAATGAGGATTAAATGAAATGAGGTCAAAATGACCTCATTTCATTTTCAGATTCCTGCTTTAAAAGCTACATTTGACACCTGGATCATCCTGATACCATGAACTGATCCAGAGAAATGACTTCATTTGTCTTGTTGGTTATGATAAGACATTACTTTTGGGTCTGAATCCTGATTTTATGTAAATTTATTGAGTCATTTTTGATCTCAATATAAAGAGGAAACCTCAAATATTATTTGTTTATTAAGATTTCCCAGTTGGAAAGAAACAAAAACATTTGGAGCTCACATGGAAAAATTCTAAATTTTAAGTTTTTTTCCTCAAAATCAGTTTTTTTTGTTGCTGCTCAATAAAATGCTTCAGAAATTGTTTTAGGATTATATTTCAGACAGTTAATCAACTGATTCATTGATAAGACATTAATTCATTATATTTGTTTATATGTTTAAACCCCATATCTGCCTGTTTCTCTACATTCCTCTTCTGAAGGTAATCYTCACTTGGATGTGACGGCTCACTGATGACTGCTGATGTCAGGTGTAGGACAGAGGAGCTTAAAGAACCAGGGTTCTCCTGAAGAGTTCTGCTGCTGGAGCCTGATTGGCTGAACTCTGATGCTTGTTTTGCAGGATGGGATTAAAGCTGCCAAGAGGAGCCTGCAGATGGAGATCCAGACGGCCGTTCATAAAATCTATCAGCAGCTGTCAGTCACTCTGGAGAGAGCGCTGCAGGCCAACAAACACCACATCGGTAACACTTCCTGTTCCTGTCATCAGCCTGAGCAAAGAATAAACTCAGCCTCATTTAGGTTTTTCTCTGAACGGTTGACCATCTTCACTGAGAAAAGTTTTTCTAGTAGATCTGCAGCTAACGATTACTTTAGTAATCAATTAATCTATCGATTATTCTGACCATTAATCGAGTAATCGGATATAAAAAAAATTGTCATGTACCTGCAGCAGTCAAAGTAAAATGACACCAGTTGTATGAATACATGCATTTTAAGCTCCAATTATGTGTGTGAGGTTTGAGGAGGCATTAATTAAAAACACTCTGTCGTTAAATAATTTTAACCATCACAGAAAAATCTAAATTCTGTAAATTTATTTTTACAGATATATTTTTTTGTTAGAAATTTAATAAGTAAAATG